TAAAAGGAAATGTGTTCCTTCTTTTTAAAAGAAAAGGAACCCATTTTCCTTTCTAAACTTTTGAGAGTCGCCAACGCTTTAAAAATGATAATACTAACTCACCTTTTAAAAAAAGATTCACTACAACACTTGGGCAGTTTGCGTACGTAGAATCCGTTCTTTTCGATTGGGTTCAAATGACGGATCTGACAACTCAATGCGCATGCGTGGTTCATGATGGTGCGAATAGCTTAAGCGGCTAATCGCACCGCTGGTGCGAATAACATCGGCTGCAGCTTGGTGGGGCGGCTGGTGGGAGAGGTTGGTTCGAAACAAGAATTTCTGAAACGTACTTTAGGTAAATCAGTGTTATCATATGAAGAAATTTATACTATTATTTGTGATTGTGAAACTGTAATTAATAGTAGACCCTTAACGTGTGTTTCTGAAGATCCGCAGGAAATTGTCTCTCTGACAACGCTATGTTTCATATCGAGAAGAGAAATTCCAGTGTTGAAGATCTTGATGAATTAAATTCGTCAAGTCTTAATAAGAGATTAAAAACTAATCTGTTAAATGAATAGAACTAATCTGTTAAATGATCTGCGACAACGCTTTAGAAAAGAATACCTTAGTCAACTGTTTCAAAAGCATAATGAAAAACTATCTCGGGAACCTGTAGTTGAAAAAATAGTACTGATGGGGGATGATAACAAAAAACGTTTATTTTGGCCCTTAGCCCGAATTACAGAATTGATCCCTGGACGTGATGGAAAGATTCGCACGGTTAAACTTAAGACCCGGCATGGAACGGTTGTACGACCAATACAACGCATTTTTCCTCTGGAGATACAGGCCAATGACAGAAACATAATCCCTGATAAGAAACTGTGTAAAGAGCAATCTAATTCTTGTGCTGGATGTACGTTAAAAAGGGGAATTGAACCTGATAAAATGGTAATGCAACAATATTCCTCCTCTGGACGATTCGTAAAAGCTCCAAAAAGACTTGGATCTTTTAAATAATGTTTGTTATGAGCTTGACACTCAACCTGAGTGTCAAGACAAGAGTGTCTGAATCATTTACAAACATGGACCTTATAAGAGATAGACTAACCCAGTGGGCGGGGCACGCGTCACCGACATGTCCGCAAGAAAGAGTAGGGACGATCTGGTTTACATGATCTGGACGATCTGGTTAATTTTAACACTGAAACCTACGGCGTTTCTATCACATAATCTTTTTAATTATTAAATGTGATGCGTTGTATAAGATGATAAGGATAATGAAAGCCACAGTTTTTTCCAAATAGGATTTAATATAACTCATTTAAAGCACGTTTTTACTGCATTTCGCGGCATTTTTTTCACGCGTAATTATTGTATAAACATCTTTACTTTGGTAAAACGGTACAAAAACTCTAAGCACAAAATTTATGAACTTAATTTCGGGTAAAAATAAAGTAAAATTAAATAAGATAGATAGTACGTGATGCTTCGAAATAAATAAGGTAAAATTAAACAAGATCTGATAATTCTTTTTAATTTAATGAACATTTTCAGGCAGTGATTTTCAAAACTATAATAACGTTACAAAACGATCATTTATTTGATTATATGTTCATTAAATTACTAACATTAAAGTGGATTATTTATTTTAGTAATTTATAAAATTTAGAGCATAAAATTTCTGAGTGTAATGAAGTGAAAAAAAAGATAAAATAAAATCTAGAAACTCTCAGATTTTATGTTACGCCAAAAAGGAACCTTTTTTTAAAGTTTTGTGTGTTACCTATATTTATTGAATATCATGTTCTTCGCCCATAAACTACATACATTTCAAAACAGCATATCTTTAGAATTTTCGCACTGGAGATAAAACTGTTATTTTCCGTACAGTGCTCGCTCGTTGAGTTTTTTAATCAAAAATTCGTTAAAGTTTTATAAAATATGAAACGGATTAAAACAAATTCGAAATTCGCCCGTCCAGATGCCCATGTTACTGCGAAGGATTATATTATTCAAAATTTTCTTGCTCTAGATACTGTCGTTTTTGCCACAGTGTGAGAAAACATACATGTAATTCATGCAGATTCTTCATTATTTAATTTCTTTACACATAATATAGGGTGATAATATTTGGTAACAAGTTGCAAGGAGATACGGACATTTATACTAAAAGAGCGCAAAATGCCCCTTCGAAACTAACAGCATTTGTAGGGTACCGCCCCTTTGGGCTAATAAATTAAATTAACAGTAAATAAAAAAAATCTTATGCAGAATAAAAAATAAATTAAAAAAAATAATCACTATAAAATACAAGCAAAATTAATTATTATGGTTAAATACAATTTTAATATTAGAATTAAATGTATAAAAGTTAAGGAATCAAAAGTGTTTATCATTATGAAATATATTTGAAATAAAATTCCTTCATAGAAATTTTGCTATAATACTCATCTATAATTTAAAAAAAGCAGCACAATTTGGACTTTTAAACAAAACTTTCAAAAATTCTTTTTGAAATATTTTAGTATTATTTACATATATACACCAATAAAAAGCATAAAAATTGCAAGAGAAAATTGCTTGTTTGAAATTTCGGTTAGTTCAGATATAAAATATTATTTTCTAAAAGAAGTAGTTACAAATTTCCTTACAGCATAGGAAAAGCTAAAAAAATATCCAGCCCTGAAAGCATGCAATAGCTTTATAATTATTTGGAACGTTAATTATGCTTGATAAATATATGCTAAATTTTTAAAAATCAATCTCTCTTTCAAACATAAAAATATGTAGAAATTCTAATTTATGAAATGAGGCGCTACAATCAGCTTTTTCTTGACAATTATACATACTGCAATAGGCAACCACTGTTAAATTTCTGCAAGTCGTCCGTACTCCTCCGGATGTGATCAAGGTGACAGCCGGGAACGCCTCAGGAGAGGGAGAAAAACCATTTGGGTTAGTCTATTTCTTATAAGGTCCATGGCGTGCTGAATATTTTGGAAATTTTTTTTTCTGTAGACAGAACTAAAAACCTGATCTCGGAAGAGAAAAAAAGACTGTTATGATGAAAATAAAGAAGTTTTGGCTTATTAAGATTTTTTTGTCTTTATTCGTAATGCACACAGCCTCGGGTAGAGGCAGCCCGCAAATGAATTACCTGTTTTGAATACATTTTCTTTATATATTTTCTGTGTTCTCCGTAACATCATTTTCTTGTTTAGCAAACTCACTAGTTGAAGCTAAAGTCTTTAAAACCCTCTGAGCCCTGAAATTTCAAAGGTTCTCAAAATGTCATGAATATGTGATATTTTTTTATTTTAATTAAAAAATGACTCTTTCATTTTGTACTTTGATTCCTTTTCTTCCAATATACATCCAAACTGAAACTAGATACTTCTAGACTTTCAAAAATCTAGCAGAAATTTTCATGTATAATGAATGTGGGAGGCAACTTTCTGTACGGAATTTTCCGGCCTTAACGCTGAGAGGGAACTGAGTGACATAACATTCAATTGTTTGCCCTTCTTGCTGGGCTACACAAAAGGAATTTGTAACGTTCATATACGACACTCTGCCGTGGTGAACAATAATCTTCAAAAGACTTCAAGACCTCTTCGTACTTCTCTTTATTCTCAGGTGGCTCAAATCGAAATGTGTTATAAATTTCGAGTCCTTTAGTACCGAGTAAATTCAAAAGAATTGCAATTCTTATCTGGCTTGGCATCTTTTTTCCGTTGCAAGTAAATAGTTTTCTAGCTCTTGTTTCCATTTTTCCCATTTTCTTTAACATTTTTGATGGAGAATGTCAGCGGAGCAGGTGGTCTGAAATCCATTTTGCTCCTGACACCATGTAACTTCTTATTTAGTTTGTTTCACTTAATAACTTCTAGACTTCCAAAGTAGACTAAACTAATGAATATGGCTCAAATAATTCAAATTTTAATTAAAAACAGTTCACATGACATTAAGCTAGTACAACAACAGACAGATAAAGTAGACAGATGTAGACAGACAGACAAAGTAGACAGATGTCTTGTTTTGCACCCGCTAAGTCTTTCTGCCTGATGAGCGTAAAATCAAGCATAGGTGCGAAGGAAAGGTATATAGAAAGGGGGGCAATTTCGTATTTGAGGAGAGTAAAAAGGAACTACATTTCATTCATTAAATCTTTCTTCGCGACTGTTGGCAACTAAGCGAAATATCCCATTCTACCATCTCGATTCTTCTTATCATCCTTTTGTTGTTCCAGATATTCTTTTATCTGATGCAGAATAAAAGCGCGCTGTCACTCTCTTTCCATTCGACACAAGTCAGGCCAACACCAAAATAACGCGTTCACTGTTGATCACCAGAGTGATGATGCTGATGTCAGCAAAACGTCACCAAATCCCGTATGTGTCTTATACGAAGGTTAAACACTCAGGCGGATTGCCTGCTGTCTATTTTATTTGATTTCTTAGGTGGTTTCCCTGCTGCCTGTTTTATTTGATACTTAGACGGATCTCCTATTTTATTTTGGTTACTTATTCCATTTTTACTTTTTCTTTTTACTGGTTAACCGTAGGGAAGAATGAAATTAACATACAGTCTCGCAACAAATGTATCGAAGACGAACTATCAAACGTCTGCTATGTACTTCTGCAAGCTACTTCTTGATGATATAGAAAGACTACTCTTTGATGGTATTTCTTAGGTTATGAGTATATTATATTTTTTTTAAGATGTACAAAAACCGCTTCCAGTAATATAAACCTGAAAATATTTGCCTCTTTTGACAGGAGATACTTATCAGTTTGGTTTCTGAAAAGGGTAAAGCCCCTTCATTTAAAATCAAAGTTATAAAAAAAAAAAAATAAATAATAATTATTTGACAGACTCTGTAATTTAGTGACATTTGTATCTCTTTTATTACTTACAGTATGATTGTTATCTTTATTGTTATTTAATTTCTGTTTAAATTATTGCAGTTCCTGATTTTAAGGTCTACTTCAAGCTACCAAAAACCATGGTTTTTCGAATTTGGCAACATTGTCTATGTTGATTTATTTGTAGGGGTTTGGTATTGCAGACACATTTTATTTCAGGGATGAAGAAATGGGGGATAGTTCTCCTTCTGCTTCTGGTAATTTACCCTCTTTTTAGAATAAGGATAAAAATTGTAATTTCTTGTTTTTGTCGGTTGTCATGTATAATATTTATGTTTCATACGTTTGAAATAGATGAATCTGCTAATGTTTGCGCTGGATGCTTGAATGTTATTGACGATGAATTTTTGCAAGCATTAAGCAATGAGTGGCATGTCGATTGTTTCAGGTATGAATTGAGAATGTTTTTCAAGTTTTTTTTTTTTTTTTTTTTTAATATACAAGAGATGTTGATATACTCTGTGTGTATGTATTAAGAAGTCCTATGCTGTACTGCTGCTGCATAGTTTAAAATTTGTGCATATTAAATATGTTGATGAATTATTAAAAGTTATCATTATAATATATATGTGTGTGTATGTAATATAAAAGTATATTAGTATAGAAAGCAAAATTTCAACTTAGATTGCAGTAGTCCTTTAATTCTCAGTTTTAATTTGGTTATTTCTCCTTTCTGCCTAAAAATAGTAAGTGTTCGTAAAAAATCTGTCTAAACAGGGTCGTTTTACAAACAAACCGTACAAAGATAAATTCGTGTGTGCAGTCGCCTTCAGGCTGCATTGTTCAAGGTGCTTTGAGGTGTGAAACATCTCTGGCTCTGACATTGCAGAAGCAATAATTTTTCAGTTGTAGCTCCACTTGACATTACAAGAATCATAATTTCACAACCAGTGTTGAGGGATTTTAGGATTTCTGCACTCTGTCTGACGCAAACCCTCTCGATTTCAGGGAGGCTGATGGACTAGTGATTCTGTTCTTCTCTAATATCGTTTCAACTATAACAAATCAGAGGATATAAAATATGACCAAAAATAAAGAGAGTATGACTTATTCAGTCTGCAGACTGTTTTAGACAAGGCAAGACCTCGGAATCATGTCAAATTCTCGTCTGGACAGACTTTTGCTGCTAGCAAGATCCTAATAATACAGACAATAACCTATGATAATTATTTTTATGCCTTTAGTGTTGTTATGTATTGTATTAGAACTTCTCATAGATTTATATTAAATGTAGTTTTGTTCTATATGCAGTAAGTAATATGCAACTTTAACAAACGTGAACATTATGTTACCACATAAAGATTCGCTATCACTGCAGAGTATCGCCATCACCCTACCCTAAACTACACTGGTGAAATAAATTAAGAGAATTTGCATATTTTATCGAATTGCGTGAAAAGAACTGAACTGAAAGAAAAAACATTGCTTCTAGATAAAAATGCAAATCTTGTATGGCAAATACATAAGCGTATACGTGTGTGTAGGTGGAGCCATCAGAAAAACAGGCTTTATAAGTGCATGGAGAGTAAGATGAATTGCATTGGCTAGCACACTTAGGCAAATTTATTGGTGTTATCTTGCAGCAATCGGTTAAATTCACATCAGAACAGTAAAAATGAGTAACCATCAACTTTTAGATGATGGAATGAGGTGGCGGATTGTGGGGAGGCTAGAGGCAGACCAATCACAAGTCCGGATATGTAGAGAGTTTAATTTAAAGCCCAGCATTGTGTGTAATCTATGGAAACAGTTTCAGGATACTGGATTCATCGAGAGAAAGCCTGGGGAAGGTTGTCCAAGAGCCACGACGGCCTGAGAAAATCGCATTTTGTCCATTTTAGTGAGGCGTAACAGAAGGGCTACAACTTCTCAGCTCTCTCGGGACCTGTATGCAGCCACAGGATCCCGTGGGTGACTGTTTCCAAAAGACTGAATGAGGAAGATTGTTTGCCAGAAGACCATCTGTTTGCGTCCCACTTACGTTTACAGATAGGAGAGTCCGATTAGCATGATGTAGGCAGCATAGTGATTGAGTACGAAGCAATACTCCCAACATACACGGTAATCTGTTTTCACTTTAAAAACATCAGAAAATTGCTTAAAGTCAACATCCATACAATTCACTACTCCAAACTGTCTAAAACACACAGATACTACATGTGTATTTCAGTTGCCACTTAAATACCAGTTTGTAGATTTACTTATTATTTTGTGACAAACTGCATTTTTTTTTTTTTTTTTTTGTAACTTTTAGGGGTGACATAATTAAAAAGTATCTAATTTTAGTTCACTTATAATTAATGTAATGCAAATCATTTGTAGATAAATACAATATTGAGTGTGGTAAGGCGAACGTAACATGACCAGGAAAAGTAGAATTAAAAAAACAGGCTAATCTTTAGAAAATGGTAACAGGTAGTTTGGCGACATTTTGGTAAGGTGATAAAGGTTACTAGCTAGGACTTTAGCAGTGTACATGGATAAAGTGAAGAGTGTGCACAATGCCATTTTTGTGCAATTCTGGGATGTTATTTTAAGTGAAAATAGGCCGATGTGTACATGGATGATACCGTGTATGTGCAATTCTTAAAAACGCCGCAAGAAGTGGGCGATTCTGCACTTTGTTCCAATTTCGCACCTAATCTTCGTCATAATTAAGCACTTTTGTTCCATAAAAGTTCTAACATAAGCGTAATTCGGCTAGCAAATTGTTGGAAAAAAATGTTGAGAAAAAAAAAAAAAAAAAAAAAAAAATGCCTTTACTTCGTGAAAACAAAATGGCGTCCAAACAAAAACTAGCAGGTTGCTGTAGCAGGGTTGGTCGCCAAATTTTCGCCAAAAAATCGCCAAGTTACTATAATCCAAAGATTAACTAAAAAACACCTTGCGCAACCAACTGAAAGGCAAACTGTATAAACATTATAATTGACCTTGCTAGCACATTGAATCTTTGAAAGCATTACTTTCGAGGCAGTCACACATGATGAAGATATCAGCTATCTTTTTTTCTACTTTAAAAAAGTGAAAATCGAATCTGTTTATGTAACTGTAAGTTGGCTAAAAATATTATACAGGCAGGGCATTGACAAGCTTAAAACTATTCATTTAAGAATGAACAAATTTTGTGCTTCCATACATGAACTTATATTCCATGTGCAGATAAATACAGTCAGGCTGATTAAAATGTTATAATTTAGACATATTGATGGCATAGTTGTCAATGATAATACAGGTAGAGGTAAATGTGGAATAGGCACCAGTCCATCGCCAATTAGTCTATCTTCTACCATCATGAGCATAGTTTCCTAACAGATGGGATGAACCGTTACCATCAAAATGATAAGGCTTCCCTTCTGCTGTGAATGACATCACTAGAGAGGGAACTAGTAGACATAACAACCTATCACTGCTGTTTTGGAGGTAACGAGCAAAACCAACTCATAGTACTGCATGCTTGTAATTTCAGCAAAAGATTTGTATATTACATGAATGTTTAGAAGAGATTTAAAAAAATTTTATTTGGTAATAATCTATTGAAAAGTAATTTATTTGGTAATAATCTGTTGAAAAATAATTTACACTTTTTGTGCTCCTTATTGCAGAGAAAATTATTCAAATACTGGAAAAAAAAATGTTTTCCTTTTTCAAATTAGATTTGATATGAAAAAGTAGTTATGTGCAATTTACTAGCAGAATTTCAGCTTATCAAAACATTCTAAGGTATGTACCAGCAGTATTTTAAACTATACGATTTTTTTAAATTGAAAATACATTTCAATTTGTGCATTTAAAAAATGTGTATTTCTTGATTTTCCAAAAATTAGGCCTTACTGTTACAAGTTTTATATTGACTAAATGTTCACAGTTATTTTAAATTCAATAAAACCTGAAATTAATTATACCGACACATGAATTAACAAATAACACAGTAGTTAATCATTAATTCGAAAGCATTTAACTAAATCTATAATAAAATGTGTTAAGATATTAACTAAGGTATAATTAAGGTATACCTTGTTGAGGTAACTAAGGTATTTTTAAGTTATTAATAGGCAAGTGGAAACTTCATAAATCTCTCTAGAATACCAGGATAATGGGAATATACATTTAAACACAGCTAGCTAGCATTTCCTAGATTCTTCTTCTTATTTTATTTATTTATTTATTTATTTATTTTTCTGAATGGAAACCTAATGAATTGCAAAGTAACCTGCATTTTCATTTTACGTTGAAACTATTTATAACATTTTCTTATGAATCTATAGTAGTAGTCGATACTAAATTTTTCGGTTAATCTTTGGATTATGGTAACTTGGCGATTTTTTGGCGACCAACCCTGCTACAGCAACCTGCTAGTTTTTGTTTTCACGAAGTAAAGGCATGTTTTTTTTTTTTTTTTACTCAACATTTTTTTTCCAACAATCTGCTAGCCGAATTACGCTTATGCTAGAACTTTTATGGTAAAAAAGTGCTTATTCATGACAAAAATTAGGTGCGAAATTGGGAGAAAGTGCAGAATCGCAAACTGCTTGTCGTGTTTTTAAGAATTGCACGTACACGGTATCCATGTACACGTCGACCTATTTTCACTTAAAAAAAAATCCCAGAATTGCACAAAAATGACATTGCGCACACTCTTGACTTTATCCATGTACAGTGCTAAAGTCCTAGCTAGTAACCTTTATCGCCTTACCAAAATGTCGCCAACTACCTGTTACCATATTCCAAAGATTAGCCAATTTTTCATCCTTTATAGATTTATGAAAATATTTTGTTGAATCACACAGTGAAAGAGCAACTGAACATTTTGAGGAGAAAATGGAACTTCTATAAAAATTAATTTGGTTTGTCCTAAGTTTCAAAAGGATGCTGCACTTTCCCAACTACTTGACTGCCCAAAAACTTCCAGAGAAAGTGCTGATGATAGGAGAGTTCGAACTGATAGAAACAAAGGTTAGAGTAGACTTTAAGGTACCCCTTGTATTATGGCGAAGTTGTTTTATTTATCGCCAAGTTGTTGTTTTATTTTATGGTAGCCTGAGTAGTTAAATGTTATGGAAACCCTATTGTGACATAATCGGGTCCATGATTCTGGGAAATTTTGAATCATGGGATGTTTCGTAAGCGCTTTTGTGGTGTGTGTTTGTTTTATTGTTTAGATGGTAGAATGGCTGAATGTAGCAAGATTAATTCAAAGTTTCTGTACGATTTGGAATGAAAGGGGAAATGAGCGTTAAATGACTGGTGTGTAAATGAAGGTTTACTTAGTAGGCATTATAAGTGTCCTGTATGTAGGAAGGATATGCATCTAGTTGAACGTAAAAAATGTTTAGATGGATTTTGAATGCGATCGTAGGAAGAAAGGTTCAGGTGTGGTGACGCCGATAT